GCTGTTGCTGCGGTTTTTGCAGGGGCGTTGTGCGAAAATTATGTGCTCGGCCCATTGAGCAGGGCGTGTTGCACCATTAACCACTGCACGGGCCAGACGGAGGAGTTTGCGTAGGTGTGCGGAGAGGGGGGCAGGGCCGTGTCCAGTCAGCCGGGCAGCCGTAGTCAAGTGCATTTGCATAATTTGCTGCGCTGCATAAAGTTTTTGCTGCATATTGGCCAAGTTTTCTGGTTAAGCCTGCATGTTTATTAAGCAATCAATTATAAAGATTGCCGCACATAGTTGCAGCGCATATTGATTTTCAGTGCCTGCGGCTTCAGCATTCAGCCAGGTGGGTCACTCACTGATCGGCCCAATATTGGCAAATATTTGGCCAAGTTGGCAAGCCGGCAGGTAGGCAGGCAGCTTCATCAATGTAATCAATAAATGTCCTTGGGTTGTGGCAACGAGTGCTTGATAAATAGATTAAATGGCTGTGGAGTGGCCTGTTTTGGCCTGTTAACGATACCCCTGCTGTTTACCTAGCCCAAAACTCAACTCATTTGGGGAGTTGCTGCTGCCACATAAAGTTTTACGACATCTGAGCCCGATCGGAATGTTGTTCAATAGTTGCGCCTTTGGCTTGTCGGCAACATTTGCATGCGCGCTCTTTGGGAATCAGAATGCATATGTATATCTATATATATATCTTTATATATATACCATGTACTTGTTGGCTTGTCTGTGCGCCTGCACTTATATAGAATTGCAAAACTTTGGCATAAAGTTTGGCGCTTTACATGCAAACTTGCAATTGACAGCAGCCGAAAGAAACGTGCTGCAAAGTTACTTTAAGCTGTTGTTGGGTAGAATTCTTTGTTTTAACGACTTAGTTTGCGGTCAATGTTTTTTATCCTTTCTTCCTGCCAACCTCTCAGTTGAAACAGATTCTGCTTGTCACTCAAGCAGCTAATGCGAAGTACAAAAAACGATTGCCAGATCAAACTGTATAAATTCCCACTAATTTACTTAAGCTGTTCAATTTAGTATAGCTAAGTTTTAAATGTAAATTAAAAAATATATTTATTTGTCTTCCTTCACCTAAACTTAGATAGAACCTGCAAAGGAATGCATACAACAGCACAAACAAAATAAACGAAACGTTTTAGTTAATATTCACATTAATATATATTAATATTTTTCTATCGTTGGAGTTGAACCGGCGACTTCTCGTTTTATTGTTGGGGCTTCTCATTCAAACTTTCTAGAACCGCGTCTTAGGGCTTCCATTCGACCCAAAGAAAAGCTTCAGTATAAGTCTAAGCTACACTTTGTTGATATAATTCTGAATGAAATGAAATGTCGACACACAATTACAACATCATAAATAAATGAACTTTTTGCTCTTTTCTTCATTTAAAGCCTGATATACCTAATATAAAAGTATGCCCTCTTGACATGTGTAGAAAGGAATTCGTGGTTGCATGTATCGTTTGCCATTGGGACATCTAGCACGGCAATAATGTAATCCTTTCAGCTTTAAAGGATGCAAAATGTCGCTGCTTTTGTTCCGATTTCAGTTTTGATGAGGGTCGGGTCGCACAGCTGGCGCAGCGAACGAGGTCGCACTTGGCGTGTGGTTGGTGCTTTCAATTAAAATTTCAACGTGCACGTAACTACTTTTATTGAAATTACGATTGCAGGCAGCTGCGCACACACACACACACTCACACACGCACACACACGCACCTACACATACCTGCCAGCATATGTATACATATATGCACATTCAAACATGTCCACTGGCAGCGCATACTTCATTGCATACTTTGCTGGGCGTGTGCGTGTGTGTGTGTGTGTGTCCGTCTACTTGCCGCCATTTGTGGCTGCTGCCTCTAATGAAGAGCAAAACACAAAGCTTTGGCCTAGCTCGCCATTCTCACAGTGGACGAATGCGCAACAAATGAATGAGCTGACATATCTTCGGCATGCAAATTCCAATTGGCAAAGCCCCGCCACAATGGGAACCGAATGAAGGTCAACTGGGCGGCATTTTAGCATTGGGGCATTTAGCTGCGATAACAAATATTGCGGATATTTGATTAATGTTTTTGGGTTAGGCAAAGGGGGGAGTTGAGGTCTAGTTTGAGTTTTGCACAGCGCAAACAACAGCAACAACAAACGAGCTTCGACTGTGACAATAAAATGTTCCTGCTTTCTATTCATGTATTCACATAATCCAAGATGAAAAATAGATTTTACCAAAAAAAAAGTTTGTAGAAAAAAAATTTAACTGCGCAAAATGCTGACAAGGACATTCCGCCATACTGAGCTCAACATGCTGACGTTGGGGCGGCGAGGCAAGGGGGCGTGGCGGTTTGCTTGGCTCGCCTGGGATGTAACATCAGCTAAATGCTTAAGCGCACTAGTCGGAATACCAGAAAGAAAAAAAAGAGTACAAATTTAAAAAAAAAAAAAAAAAAAAAAAAAATAAACTAAGCGACTTGCGACCGGCGACAGCTCTGAACGCTGATGGAACCAGCTTGCGTGTTGCTTTCTCTGCTTATTTCTCTCTCTCTCTCTCTCGCTCTCATCTTAACACCATTTCTCTGTATGTCTCTGTATGTATGCCCACTGACTTTGCTACATGACAATGAAAATCTCTGCAGTGCATTTGTATGTCTGCCTTTTGATGCCCTTGTGCATTAAACTCAATCTCCAGTTTCTAGACTAGTAGATACTTTTAATTTGTGGTGTATCTCTTGAATGATATTATAAAAACTGCAGATAAAAATAAATTTGATAAATATAATGATTTTATTGGTATTGGGTAATTTAAAGGAGATTTAAAATGTTTAGAAAGCAAAAAACGCAACTAAAAATTGTAAAAAATGTAATTAATGTTTTTGATCCTTTTTTATAAATTAATTTAGGAAATATCATATTTCCACAAATAAGATAAGATATTGGCTGTTAATGAGTTTGTAAAATTATTATTATGTGTGATTATTAAATTTCAAATTGTCCACATAAATTATTGCTTCACCTGAGAAAGTACTATATCTATGATGCACTTAGATCTCTAAAACAATAATCAGTATCATCATATTATACGTACATGTATTTATTTGTTTGTAGAATTCCTTGCTCGAATTGTATGCTTTCTTTTCTTGTAAGTTAACTGTCTAGCAATGTTCATTGAATTTTTAAACAAGTTTCTGGATAGTTAGTTAGTTTCCGTTTTCGTTAGGGTATTAGAAATTCGTTGCATATCTTTGCCGGATTGGTTTGTCTGTTTTTCTTTGCTGCCGCTTCGGTGCTTCGTTTGGAAATTGTCATTTTAGTATTTGGAATTCCCAGCTCTGCTGATTTTCTGCTGTTTCTGCAGTTTTCCAGCTTCCTTTTTTTCGTTTTGCCGCCGCCGCCGCCCTTGCCGCCGCTCTCATCTATGAGCATTTGGTTGGCAATGCTGAATTAAACCAATCACTACTATTTTCACACTTAACTTGCAATTTGCATAAAATATTACCCAAGACCCAACAGTCAAGCAGACGTTGTCACTGGGGATAGCACATTTGGGGTGGCCTAGGATGATGGGTGGGGGGTGTGTGGGGGGGGGCTTTTTTATTCTTCTTCCCGTGCTGAAGGGTGGGCGGAGGGTTTCACAAGATGTTGGCGCTTGCAAATAAGTACGCAGCCATTGACAGTTGCGTGCGAATTTCTTTTTATTTCTTTATATATATATATTTTACCAACACACACACACACACAAACATACGCACACACACTCATACACAGGGGGCATTGAAAATGTGTTTAGTTCTGCAAAATAAAAATAGAAAGAAAAAAGTCATTTTATGTGCTTTCAACATATTCAACACGCGCGCGCTGAAATCTTGACTTTTTTCTTGTGTGTGTGACATTTTTTAATGCTCTTCGAAATGTGTGAAATGATTAAATTTTAGCTACAAGTGTATTTCATTTATTCGTGCTCAGTTTAGTATATCTCCAGCATGTGTTTATGCAGAGAGCGTGTCCAGTCATTAGTGCAAATGTTGCCTAAAACTCGAAAAACTATAAAACTTAACTAAACGCAACTTGCAACAAACCATTACGCTACATTTAACAAATGGGTTAGTAGACGCAGACAACGCCAGAGCGGCGCGGCGGGCTAGTTTGGTGCACCGATTCGCCCCCTTTTTCTACACCCTTAAGCATAGCTTTAATGTGTGTGCCTTTGACGAGCGCTGACAAAGGCTTTTCAAGCAGCTACACGCACTCAGAGGACATTAAATGCCCGTTTTGCACATGTCCGAAACAGAGAAATGGCCTCGTTCTCTTGGCCAACTTGCCGTAAGTGTTCCAGACAAAGGTAGAGTGCGTGGGCTGTGCGACTGCCAGAAAACTGAAACCTAAATTAAAAAGACGACGAGCATTCTAGAAGTAGAATGCCCGACTACGAGATACGCGGCTTGTCAACCCAGCTTCAAGCTACCGTTACAAAAAACCAAAGCTATTGAAAGTCGAATGAGTTTTCACCAATTTATGGGGGCTGGAAAATTTTACCTATCTCTTTAACCAACAAAATCATTGCCAGATTTATATGTAAAATTTACATAGAGGTCAAACCATAAACAAAAAGCCAAACCTGTTGCAAATCTGATGAGATTTTACCGATTATGGGGCAAGAAATTTTGACCTATGCCAACTCTTTTTCGCCAGTTTATAACTTTGCGGGGGAAATTTCTTAAATCGCTGGAATACGTGCTTATTAAGTTCTTGAGTTTTAAAAATAATTTGAAAGCAAATCTGATTTAATACGTTTTTTGATATTTCATTTTTGCAGATATCTGAATTTGCTGAAATATCTTTGAATAGAAAATATTTTGTCTTATAAGAACCTATTATTTCACCGATCTTTCCCATAGCATATGATACAGTGGTCCTTTGTTTTTTGTCCGATCTCAATAACATTTTGAGTGCAAAAGCATGGCGTTCAAATGATTATAATAGAAGACGAGGAATATTTCTAGCATTTATTTATTTACCACTAAAATTTATAATTGTCTATCTACTTGAGCCGAGAAATTCAAATTATTGCGAGATATTGGAATAGAATAGAAATACCCTTCCTTCTTACATCTGATTTTGCGGTGCCAATGAGCTATCAAGCTCTTCCTAAGAAAAGAAAAAATTTGGTGGTTTAGAAAGCAACTTGCCAAATGCCTGAGCGAGTCGATTTACGGTCTGTGTGCGCTTCTCCATGCATCTGAATGTGTACCAATGGTCGTTAATGCCAAGCTGCTCGCCATCCTCTAGTGAACAGGGCAACGTGCGATCCAGTGTCTCCGGCAGCAGCAGAATCAGTCCGGCAACTAGCAAGGCGAGCACGCCCACTAAGATTTCCGGCAGCAGGAAGATTTGGCACATATCGAAAATGCAATATGGGCATATTTGGGCGGTAAGGGCCATGGTAGCGAGTACACCCAATGCCTGACCGCGAATACAAGTTGGAAGTAGCTCCAAGCTGTACAGCGTATTTGAGCCGAGGGCAAGGTTGTGAAAAAATGACCCAATCACATAAAACGTAACCAGTACTCTGCGGGCTGTGGGCGAGAATACAGAGAGTCGGCATAGTTTTGATTGTGGGCTAGTGTTGTAAGCGAAACCAAATAAAAAATTTAAGACAATTTGTTTTCAACTTGTTTTCCTATGTTACACTCTACAAAATATTAATTTTCACTTGCACACCAATAACTTGTAATTTTCTAAGTAAATGTTACCCAGCGATATTAATTGATTTTGTATTATCAATATAAATAAGTAAGAGAATCTAGTCAAGAACTCCCGACTAGCGAATATCCTGAACCATCTTCTGCTAGTACCAAATGCAGGTACGGTACGGTACGAGCACGTTTGCTTTACTAATAATACAAATAAATGAAAAAAGACAAAGAAAAAAGAAAAACAATCGCAGTTGCAATGCTGTTTATAGAATTAAGTAAAGCCGCGCATCTGTGTTTGTCTACAAGTATACAGAAATTCTTGCAATTTTCGCTATCTGCCCCAACCACGTGGCCAGCATAAAACACATTTTCTTGAATAACTTTTGCGTTTCTTAACTGATCTTGCTGACATTTTCTACATTTACCAATTCAAATTGGTGTTTTTTTACTTGATTTATAGCTATGTGGTGGTAGTGAAGCGGTGGTGAAAGTTATTTGATATATATGTCTAGATCTACCAGGAATTATCGCCCTCTTTTCGTACCTCCTTCCACCTTCGGGATCTCATTGACCATTCCCAGCTATAAGCAGGGGAATAGCTTGCCGGACAGGCTACAAATTTTCCCGCACCGGGTCGTCGATTTTCAATTACTATCTCTTTGCCCTATTTACCTAACATTCTATATATTTAGTTTAAATTTCTTTACTTAATTAACAACTTCTTTCTTTCTTTATTCCTATTTTTTGTAAGGTATTGTATTGTAATAATATAAAATTAAGATTACTCTATTTTATCTACTAACACCCTTCTTCTTAGCTATAGGCTCTAACAGCGTCACTTACAAAATAAATGTAACAAATATATACAGGACTTACAGCGATTAGCAGTGGATGAGAAGACGACGCCCGATACCAACAAAAAAATGCACATGAGGATCACTATTGTAAAAGCCAAACCCTTGCGTCCGATGCGATCTTGCAGGACAATTGCCGCCAAGCTGGAAGGCAGAACGGCAGTTGCAGTCAGTGAAATGAATACAAAAGGCGAAATCTCAACCTCATAACGATAATTGACGATATTGCTATAGAAATAACATATGAAGCTATGTAGATGTGCATATGAAGGCATAGAGAGTGATGTACATTAGAAAGTTCATTCAATGAGATGTCTACTCACAATTCAAACAACAATATTAACAAGGTCCGGCGTAGGCGCGGCATTCTGAAGAGGTGCAGCAGATTTGGGTTGGTCTTCGTATTTTTCTGATTTATTTTGCAGTCCTCAATGAATTCCTCATAGACGCTGTCATCAATTTGGCGGCCATTAATCTTGGCCACACGTCTCAGGGACTCTATAGCGAGGTCATATTTCTGTCTTGAGATCAGCCATTGTACGCTCTCCGGCACGAAATAAAAAAAAAACGGTATCAAAATTATTGGCAACATTTCGAGAAGCATGAAACGACGCCAACTTCCCAAGAGGATCGCAATCCAAGGTGTAATTATCATGCCCAAACACAAAAAGAAACCATAACAGATGCTTAAGCAAACTGTGCGCAAAGAAGGACGCATATATTCCACAACTGCGAAATGATTGTCGATTAATTAAATATTATCTAACGCTGGAATTATTTTGCTCACTAATAATGCAAATAATCGAAAAGTTGCTGATAACGACGAAACCGGTAATAAATTGAACAACACAAAAAAGTTCCAGACTTATGCCAAAAATTGTCAAAAAGTTATCCAATATGGTCATGACATTGGCAAAAACAAGAATGGGCACCCGACCCAGTCTATCTGACAAATAGCCCATAACTGGACTGCCTATCGCGAGGCCCGCATGTGCAACGTAATTTCCCAGTTTCTCTTTCCACGCCTTATCACATATCCAGTTCATTTCACTGACAAAACTCTGAAAGCCCATGTAATGATCATAGTTGTACTCTTTGCAGGAGTCAGAGGTGCTGGAGTTAGTATAGAATGGCTTGCATTCGTCTGCATTTGGTGGTGGAGGCCCCGAGCCCAGCCCATCAGCACACCTGGGTGTTATGAACAGACGTTAAGTATACGCCATGTTATTAACATTGTTATCAGTACTAGAGCCCTGCGTCGGTTAATTCATGTGAATCAGACTCGAATACTCAAATGAAATTGGAATTGAGCTTATTTCTTTAATTGAGCCGAACTTTCGGTCGAGTTGACAGACACATATTTTTTTCTGCAACTCAAACGGATCAAGGCAATAAAATTTGAGTCGGGTATCCGAAACGCGATTCGTTTCAGTCAATGCAGGGCTCTGTTACATACCAATGCTTTGGCACAGTATAAACGATCGCGTATGATATATCATGCAAGGCCGATAGTAAATTGATCAGAGAAGAGAGTAGCAGCATGATTAGCTGCTGTCGATTGAAATCGCCGCATTTTTCCAACATTTTGTCCACTTCCAACATTGTGTTATTTACATATAATTTAAGCACTTGCTGCATTCAATTCGCCATACACCTCTGTCTGGACTAGAGACTTCCCAGAACTTGCTTCTAGTTAGCCAGTGCTTTTAATATACCGCTGCACTATTTCATGAAAAACAAATATAACAATTTAGATTTGACAGATTTTTCAGATAACAGTCAGTGTGTGTATAATGCTTGTAAAATACGATTAATGAACATCAATAATGAATGAGTAATACACATTACTATCATCTATATGTATAGATATATGATTTTCTACTGTAAATAACAATAACAAATATACCTCACTAGTAGATCTTCAGACTCTGGTGAGACGGATCGACTTTCTGAATACTAGAGGTGTTAATTCTACTCCGTTCTGTACCCTACCACCAATCAGGTCACTTTACTTCTTGCTTCTTTCATATTTTTCACCAACGAACCGACAAAGAATCAATCAGCATCGATAAAGTATTTAATTTCCAAGTTTCCTGACCAATTTGATATCTATGTTGAGACGTCATTTTTTAGGAATAAATCGAAAACAAGTAAAAGGCTCAAGTCGGCAGTTCCCGAATAGGGGATCCCCTAAACAGGGGATTTGATTAAGTCTATATATATATATATATGCATCCTTTTGTGGTCGGAGAGGTCTATGTTTCTATTTCCCGACAATATTATAATACCCTCCTCAAGGGTAAAACGCATTGAACAGAGTGCTTTGGCAAGAACCACTCTCCGATTACGAATCGGATATTTAATTATTTAATTACAACATGTATTGTATCGATTGACAAGAAATGCGAATGTTTGTACACAAATGATTAAATCAAATCATTTAAATGTAACAACATATTTGGCTCAACTGCATTTCGTTCAATTGTCCAGGGGCAGGCTGCATGAGTAAAGGCTCTAATTTTACCACTGGTTGTGCTAGCAGCCCTCAAAGCACTCAAATGCCAACAAACAATGTGCACACTCGCACAAAAACACACGCATATACTAACACACACACACTTGCACACACACACACACACAGTTGCACACATATGCAGCGTGAAGCGCTGGCATTGTGTTAACAAATACACTTAGGCAAACACATAATTTCGAGTATTTAACTAAAATAAACAGGGTGTAAAACATTTTATTGCATGTGATGGCCCCCTGCCGCTGTGTGTGTGTGTGTCCCCCTCCCCCTAGTCTGCCATGTCATACCCATGCTGCAGTGTCATGTGTTTTTTTTTTCATGCCACGTTTACGCTTTGCATTTTAACAGTTGCACTTGCACAGACACTGGCAAACAATCGCACACACACGCACACACACAGAGAATATTTGCATTTCAGTCACTTGCACTTTTGACTGCTGCTGCTGCTGCTACTGCTACTGCTACTGCTACGGCTACTGCTACTGCTGCAGCTGCCGGCCCTGCGTTGTTCTGTGGCCCGCGCCCCGCCCTTTTTGGCAGCTCTGATCCTTTTGCTCGGCTCTGTCTCTCACATTTGCCTTTTTTGCCTGGCACTTTAGCACATTTCCATTTGCAATTGTTATATCCTGCTTTGTGCTCAAACACATTTGTGGGTGTGTGTCTCTGTGTGTGTGTGTATTTGTGTGTGTGTGAGGCTGCGTGCCTCAAGCATTTTGCTTTCTTGCATTTTATATTAAACAATATGCCGTTTAAAGAGTGCCACGCGTGAATATTCATAAAAAAACACACAGAAAAAAAACTTGGCATGCAGCTAATTAAAAGAGCTGTAAATTACGCGAGATGTGAGCCAACTAAATGCAAATGCAAGCCTTAAATAGTTGCTAAGGAGGCGCTTGGTTCGGTCTAGGAAAAGCGGTTGATGGTGGAGGGTGGAGAAGAGAGAGAGGCTACCTGCTGTTTGGCAGTTGTGCGTGGCATGGAACGGTCACCTTAATTAAAATGCACAATTTTGCACTTTTGGCCAGAAAGCGAGCGTTTCTGCTGCATTCGCATTAAAAGCGATGGCGCCAACTATAACAACAACAACAACAACAACAATTACTACGACAACAACAATGTCACCCAAGCACAAAAACAAATAAGAATATGACTGGCGATTGCAACGGACTGCATGATACTCGCTCTCGGTCCAGCTTATAAAGTGCTAACCGCCAAGTTATTCATTTTACTTACTTTTGAAATAAGTTTTTTTTCCGTATTTCTTTTGAGTCTTCAGTTGTGAAATTGTGATTTTCTATATATATCAAACTGGATTCGGGCAGAGACATGGTTAGACAGCTTTTGTCTCGATCTCTATGGGGAGTTCATCAGTAGGTTCATCTGCAATTTTTGATGATTGTAGGAGTTCGTCCTCAACAGATCGAAGCCTGAAATGGTTAAAACTTAGACTGACTAAAATCTTGAATCAAAAATGCTTTAGTCTCTTCCGATTTGCCGCGCATCAAGTGGGATTAGCCAATGTATATGACTGTGGATCATTAATCTCTAAGTATCTTTGGGTGCGGCTGGCTGGCAAATCTCTCGAAAATGTCAACGTTGACGGCGAGCTTCGAGAGATTTACTTTTCTTTAAGCTTTATTTTCGAAACAACAAATGAGTCTAGCTGTTTAGGCACATATTATTTAAATTAAATCATAAAATAAATACACAAACATTTATAATTGCGTAAATGCGTAATTCAAGCCAAATGCAAACTGTACTTAATCACAAATCATAAATTGATTGAGATACTATTTGGTGGGCACTTCTTTTAAGGTCAAATGGTCATTGGAAGGCTTTCTACTATTTGCTTTAATAGGAATATTGTAGCACACGATTTTATCAACATATTAAGAAAAACCATATACATTTTTTTGTTTAGACTTATTGATTTTATTTAAAATAATTTCGTAAGTGGAATTTTTTTTATTTAATTTCTTTACAAAAAAAAAAAGAGAAGAAAAATGATGTCATGAAGAGTTGGAAATGTATTGAAAGTTGCTTGGTAGAGATTTGTCTATCGTGAGAGTTTTTCTTAAGCAGCTGAACGGACCCAAAACGGATATACGCTTCTCACTTTGTGAGCGGGTATCATGAAATCTCTTGGCTACTTCGCTTCGCCCGCTGTCATGCAATTTATTTGCCAACTACTTTACACTTTTTGCATTTGCCTGCCGCTCTTCGAGTTGTCCTTTCTCGTATTGGACTTTATTTTTTATGAATTCAACCCCTTGCTATCCGCTCGGCCAAACAGCCCCTCAACCCTTCAACCCCGCACCCCAGCCGACTGTCGTAATTTTGTTGCGGTCTGCGTTCATTTCGCGTATGAGCGAGCGTCGCACTTCGGCAAACGTTCCGTCTCCAACCGCCCTATCCCTATCACTACCCCTGTCCGTCCCCTGCCCGTATCCCTGGCCCTGCCATTTGTAGCATTCACAATTAAAAAGCTCAACACAAAATTTACATTGTCGCTTGATGGTCGGGCGGCCAAAACTCTGCACAGACATACCAACAGGCAGCTTGTCCGGAGTCGACGGACACAGTCGTCATCATCATCATCATCGGCTTAAAGCCGGCCAGAGAGTTGGCTGCCCCGTTTCTGCTTCCGTTCAGCCCAAAATGAGAAACGGGTATATATGCTAAAATCTAAATGAAACCCGTTTCAAGCACTATAAAGTGCGTAAATGAAAAGTATATATGTGTGCTACGTGAGGTTTCTTTTCGGTTGGCCCCAATCCCCAGCGAATGGGTGGAAAATTGAATATGGTTTTTCTTGCGAGGCTTAAACTAATTTTCATAGATCTATTTTCAAATTCATGAAAGACACCCTCCATCGACAATAAAAAGCAGTTAAATTATCTTTCGCTCGGTTTCGTTTGCAATGCTGAAAAATGATTTAAATATGGCTGAAAACTAAATGGAAAATAAACAGTTGTGGTCTAAAGTTGCATGTGCTAAAATTTTCGCCAAAATACTATTCACATAAAAGATATGGCTTGCTCAATGCTGAAAGATTGATATCAGAAGGGAAACTTGCTTTTAAACTTAAGCAAAGAATGTAGAAGATATATATTTATATATGTGATAGAGGATTGTGTCTAGCGACTGCATACTGTGCCGCCATATTATAGGGTATGTAATAGTCAAATACTCTTAATCTTTGTCTAGTTAGTGGTCGGTTGGTTTTTTGGCTAGGCCCAAATATGACGTTGGTGCGCCATAAAATTGTAACGCCACTTTATGCGTTTTATGCTTTATGACCACAAATGAGTGCGCACAATGCTGCAGTCGGACAGTGTCTAGGGGTGTCTAGCTGTCATTCTGTCCCCACCCCTGCCGCCCCCACTCTCGCTCACCCACCAACTCGCACTCTCTTGCTGTTGGCTGTGCAACTTTTATGCACGCACACATACATAGAATTTGATTATGGCACGCTGGGCATTTGGCGCTTTTTACTTGTATTTTTGGTTTTTCATGTTGCATAAATGCTGAACTTTTTAATTTTAATTGTTAAAAGCTTTTTTTGCTAAAACGAACATAAAAACCTGGCCACGACACGCTGACTGCATTCGAGCAACATTAATGCATTAAAACGGCGAGCACACAATCACAACTGTCCTCCCAACAGCTCAAATCCCCGGCACCCATATTTTCCAGCACTCAGCTCTGTTACGCCAACTGCTGGCTCACATTTCACATTTTCATATGACGGTCAGTAGTGCGCCATGTGCAACAGTTTTGCCGTCTGATAAATTAAACAACGCACACGCGCACGCACGGGCGAGACCCCAAGCCAATCCGTGTGTGCTTCTTTGCAGGCCATAAACTACGCATATGGACGGACGTACCATTGTGGCGGCGCCACGCCCACCTGGCCTGGCCAGATGCCAGAGGCAGAGCGGTTGGGCCGTCTGGCTCGTGTGACTGGCTTATGCAATATTAAGCATACGCCATGCTGGCTGCCATTCATAGATAAATTGCCCGCGCGCGTTTAATATGAAAAGTTATGGCGCTTGCAATTAAAATGCGCCGCAAACACGGCGCGTAACTTTAAAGAATTGCCATTAAATGCGGCACAAATCTGCGCATCAACAGATAAATAACCGAGAAATGTCCTCAAGTTGAAACCGGCATTTCGGCTATCGCCGCAAGGAATCCAAAAGGGAAACATGTTTACCGCCGGCATGTGAAAGCATTCAATTTATGGAGCCGTTGCGTATTTGAGAAGTTAAT